TCTATACTAGAGCAAGTTTAGCTCTTTCAAATGTGAGTTTTATTTTTCCCTTCTTATTCATTTTTTAGTGTTTTAACATTTTACACTATTGGCTCTCCACCATTTTATCTTCCATATACGAGTGGATTCTCACGGATAATCTCTAAGAACTTCCGAGATCAACTGCAGATAAATCCAGCAACAAAAAGTACTCGTCGTTTTCTGAAACACTACAACAACTATTGGACTTATTCATAATTTTCGACCCAAATGTATTAGCGCAACCCTCTCTTATTCTCTAATCCAATCCTATCTGCCAAGTGACCTATGTGGGGAACTCTATTCTGCTCTGTGTCAGTGTGTATCGTGGTCTCTGAGGACATGTGTCAATCCATATCTGCCAAGTGACCCTATGTAGGGGGAACAGTCTCTATTCTGCTCTGTGTCAGTGTGTATCATGGTCTCTGAGGACAGGTGTCAATCCATATCTGCCAAGTGACCCTATGTAGGGGGAACAGTCTCTATTCTGCTCTGTGTCAGTGTGTATCAGGGGCTCTGAGGACATGTGTCAATCCATATCTGCCAAGTGACCCTATGTAGGGGGAACAGTCCCTATTCTGATCTGTGTCAGTGTGTATCAGGGATCCTTAGGACATGTGTCAATCCATATCTGCCAAGTGACCCGATGTAGGAGGAACAGTCCCTATTCTGCTCTGTGTCAGTGTGTATCAAGGATCCCTAGGACAGGTGTCAATCCATATCTGCCAAGTGACCCTATGTAAAAAAGGCCTGATGAGATGAGCTGCCTTGGGCTAAAAATGGTCCACACGCTGCTGTATTTTAGCTCTGAATGCCGGTTGACTTGCGTGACTTATCCGCCACCAACTAGGGTTCAAGTCGCCATGTTTTAGGGCACTTTCTGCCTGTGAAACAAACATCATTTTTTCTTGCCGCTGCTACAGCAGCGGCTGCAACAATACCGAATTTTTCAGACATGTGTACATGCCTAATTTTTAGGCCCTCTGGTGCTGCACTGTGGCTTCAAAACTTTTTTCACTGTTATAGATTGAATAGCAGTTAGTTGTCTGCAAGCATCAGAAAGTCACCCCCTTGCCCGGCGTCTGACACCTGGCTTGTCTGAACTATTAGCCCGCCAGCTTTTACCATACAATCTGGTGGAGTCTGAGGCGTTCCAAAAATTTGTAGCTATTGGGACACCGCAGTGGAAGGTACCCGGCCAAAATTTCTTTGCGCAAAAGGCAATCCCCAACCTGTACTCGACTGTGCAAAAGGAAGTAATAGCATGTCTGGCACACAGTGTTGGGGCAAGGGTCCATCTGACCACTGATACCTGGTCTGCAAAGCAGTGTGTACTTTATAAATGGCTCCACCTGCCAACCGTACAGCAACACAGTCTCCAGTTAGGAGGACCGACCAAGCATCTTCTTCCATCTGCCTGTTACAGAAATTACTGCCGTGTACACGTCCACTGATAGGAGACGCGGAAGGTATTAAACTGATAAAAATAGTACTAAACACACCACTCCTATGTGGTGTCACATTAGCTTGACCGTGCAGTGCCCCAAATTTGCAGTAAGAGGACCGACCAAGCCTCTTCTTCCATCTCCCTGTTACAAAAATCAATGCCGTGTACAGGTCCACTGATAGGAGACGCGGAAGGTATTAACTGATCAGAACAATACTAAACACACCACTCCTTTTTTTTTGGTGAGGCTTTACAGAACAGAGTGCTTTTCCACGGGACATGTTAACTCACGGGCAGCTGGCTCATCAAGGAACCAGAGCAGCTTTCCATGTACAGGTAAGACACGTGCAGCCGGTAAGGGTTCAGGCTCTTCTTCCTGGAGGATACTCTGCAAGCCTGTTGAACGAGGTGACCTTGCTCGGGTCCCAGGTGTACGGTTCCTAAAATGGCTGCCATATACACGTCCACTGATAGGAGACGCGGAAGGTATTAAACTGATCAGAACAATACTAAACACACCACAAATAAGGTTTCTCTCCTGTATGGCTCCTCAAATGATACTTAAGATTAGAAGCGGCTGAAAAGCATTTCTCACACTCCGAACAAAAATATATTTTTTTAACATTCTCTCCACTTTGAACGAAATGACGTTTGGGAAGAGATTAACATAATTAAACACAGGCAGTAAAATACAGTTTTTAGCCATACACTGTAACTTTAAAACTACACATCCCATCTTCATAATTATATATTTGGAATCAGCACACTTAAAACATAAACATAACCAAAAATCAGCCAAATCCATCCAGGGGTTAAAAAGTTAGCTGGAGGTCCCTTTATGACCGACCGCAAGCACATTTTCATGCCCAAAACAGTTCCATAGATTTGGGCTGTGCGGTCAGTCTATTTCAGGCTGAAAAAACGACTAAGTCCCATCGCCGAATGGGACTTAGTCTCTGCAGCTGTAAAACCAGTAGGGGAGAAGGTAGAACTCAGCGGTGTTCGCGGAAATGTGTAGCCGATTTTAGTTCCATGAATTTGGCTACACATACGCTGACCTCGTTGAATGATCAAAGATGGCCGCCGCCACGTGTTCGGCAAACGAACAAAGACCTCCCAGCATTGTCAATTAAGCTGCGGTTAACCGCAGCTTCTGGGAGGTAAATTGCCTGCACACTTCCACTTCTGGGTGGTCTGCCTATGTGGTACTTGGTTCAGTAAGCCCCATTTACTGAACCAAGTGGGAATTAGCCAGGCAGGCACAAAGGGTTTGCACCAGGTCTGGGGACACAGGGGACACCGTCTTAAAGGGGCAGTGTCCCCAACAAGTCTGGGGACACGGCCTTAAAGGGGCAGTGCCCCAATCTTCCTGATGTCCCAAAAAAGGTGTTTAAAGGGCCAGCACCAGTCACATAAAGAGTCCATAAGCCCCAATATGCCCACTGACAGTCTTAAAGGCCATACACACCAAATAAAAGTGCATACATTTTCATAATCTCCCAGATTCCATAGTCATGCGGGAGGAGGCTGGCAAATAGGCTTCTCCACAACCCAGGGAAGCAGGGCAATTTGCCATTTAAAGGGCCCGTTACAAATAGCAGTTTGTAACAAGGTGTCAATCCATATCTGCCAAGTATTGACCCGTCTTAGGAGGAACAGTCCCTATTCTGCTGCATGTCAGTGGTATCATGGTCTCTGAGGACGGAATTAGTAATCCATATCTGCCAAGTGACCCTATGTAGGGGGAACAGTCCCTATTCTGCTCTGTGTCAGTGTGTATCAGGGATCCTTAGGACAGGTGTCAATCCATACCTGCCAAGTGACCCTATGTAGGGGGAACAGTCCTATTCTGCTCTGTGTCAGTGTTTATCAGGGATCCTTAGGATAGGTGTCAAACCATTTCTGCCAAGTGACCCTATGTAGGGGTACAGTCCCTATTCTGCTCTGTGTGAGGAGGAGGAATGAGAATGATGGCTCGTAACCTTATTGCAAATGGGGTCTTTCATGCTGTCGTGCCTGTTGAGGGACCCTCGTATAAAAAGGCTGAAGGAGAACGACCTGTGCTGGGTGTCCACGCTACTAGACCCCCGGTATAAGCAGACAGTGGCGGAAATGTGACCGAATTACAAGTGGGAAAGGATGCAGCATTTGCAAAATAAATTAAAAAGTATGCTTTACACAGCGTATAAGGGTGATGTCACAGCACAACGGGAATCTAACAGGGGAAGAGGTGAAGTCATCCTCCTCCTCCCACGACCACGCCATATCTGCCAAGTGACCCTATGTAGGGGGAACAGTCCCTATTCTGCTCTGTGTCAGTGTGTATCAGGGATCCTTAGGACAGGTGTCAATCCATACCTGCCAAGTGACCCTATGTAGGGGGAACAGTCCTATTCTGCTCTGTGTCAGTGTGTATCAGGGGATCCTTAGGACAGGTGTCAATCCATATCTATGATGACCCTATGTAGGGGGAACAGTCTCTATTCTGCTCTGGCTGATAAGTGTATCAGGGATCCCTAAGACAGGTGTCAATCCATATCTGCCAAGTGACCCGATGTAGGGGAACAGTCCCTATTCTGCTCTGTGTCAGTGTGTATCAGGGATCCTTAGGACAGGTGTCAATCCATATCTGCCAAGTGTAGGGGGAACAGTCCCTATTCTGCTCTGTGTGAGGAGGAGGAATGGGAAATGAGTAGCTCGGCATCCAACCTTGTGCAAATGGGGTCTTTTATGCTGTCGTGCCTGTTGAGGGACCCTCGTATAAAAAGGCTGAAGGAGAACGACCTGTGCTGGGTGTCCACGCTACTAGACCCCTGCTATAAGCAGACAGTGGCGGAAATGTGACCGAATTACAAGTCGGAAAGGATGCAGCATTTGCAAAATAAATTAAAAAGTATGCTTTACACAGCGTATAAGGGTGATGTCACAGCACAACGGGAATCTAACAGGGGAAGAGGTGAAAGTCATCCTCCTCCTCCCACGACCACGCCATATCTGCCAAGTGACCCTATGTAGGGGTAACAGTCCCTATTCTGCTCTGTGTCAGTGTGTATCAGGGTCTCTGAGGACAGGTGTCAATCCATATCTGCCAAGTGACCCTATGTAGGGGGAACAGTCTCTATTCTGCTCTGTGTCAGTGTGTATCAGGGATCTCTGAGGACAGGTGTCAATCCATATCTGCCAAGTGACCCTATGTAGGGGGAACAGTCTCTATTCTGCTCTGTGTCAGTGTTTATCATGGTCTCTGAGGACAGGTGTCAATCCATATCTGCCAAGTGACCCTATGTAGGGGGAACAGTCTCTATTCTGCTCTGTGTCAGTGTGTATCAGGGGCTCTGAGGACAGGTGTCAATCCATATGTCAAGGTGTCAATATGTCATATGTCAGGTGTCAATCCATATTCATTGTGACTTAGGAATGTTAGGTGATTTCTGCCCTTTATGGATTAAAACCAGACTCTGCATCAACTGTGTAATTTTCCATGGGAGTTTTGCCATGGATCCCCCTCCGGCATGCCACAGTCCAGGTGTTAGTCCCCTTGAAACAACTTTTCCATCCCTATTGTGGCCAGAAAGAGTCCCTGTGTGTTTTAAAATTCGCCTGCCCATTGAAGTCTATTGCAGTTCACCCGGTTCGCAAACATTTGCGGAAGTTCGCGTTCGCCGTTCGTGAACCGAAAATTTCGTGTTCGCGACATCACTACCTCTGACCCATTCTCAATCTTATTCCCTGCAGCTTTAGTCATTCCCAAATTGTTCTTCAAGCTGTGCCTTTGCACCCACTTAGTTTTATTCTCCACATGGCCACTACCATGCCCCCTCTTATTGGTATTCCCCTCAGTGCCACCACCCCTCCCAATCTTACTCCGCACAGTACCACCCACACTCCTAATCTTACTCCAGACACTACAACCCAAAGCTGAAGTCTTACTCTGCACATTACCCCTCACCCTCCGAATCTTATTTCCTGAAACATATCTGACCTTCTCCATCTTATTCTCCCATATGCACCTTCTTCTCAGAGCTACCCATCCTTCTTGCAGCCCCCATCTTCCTTCTTAATACTTCCTATTCCAATTTATTCTAGCCAGTGCCTACTGTGCCCCTACACCCACCCTCCATCTTATTCATCACAGTGCCCCTTTAATCTATTTAAGTCACCTCTACCCACCCTGCATAATTTGACATCATGGCACTTTATTTTTTAGGATTTTTTTATATCTATGTGTACCTTAATGTAATAGAAAATTAGTTTGAAAACTATTGTCCATTTAACAAAGTCTGTTTGTTTCTGTTTTGTTCAATTATTATACTAGTTAAAAATAACAGTTTTACATATTTCACCAAGGAGAGCTCCTGGAGTTGGCAGGGAAAGTGAGTGAGTTTGGCGAGCTCTCTGATTGTCACAATGTGCAATCCCCTGCCTTGTAGGAACACCCTGGCTAAGGTCACAAGACTGGTAACGAGTGGCAATATTTAATTGGATACACAGTTATTTTAATTTAGCAGACCTCTAAGAAGGTTGTATAGATGGGGGAGTGTGAGGCCATTTAAAGCAGAACCCTGGTAAAGTATGTCAGTCTCTGATAAGGGTATTTTAATTAAAATGGCAGGTTTAATTTACAAGATGGAATACCTAACTAGTCTTTCTCCAAAGAAAGTGCTTCATTTAATCAGATATTGTTTGCTTGGAAAATTTACACCATTAGACACTTAGCTGCATTAAATTATACTACAACAACGACACTATTGT